AATCACAAGCCAGTTTTCTCTCAGCAAACTTCTCAAAGAAATAATATTTCTTAAAGGTGACATTTGGCCAGAAAAATAAACACTAAACATGACAGTTTCGTGACATAGTCCGTGAAGTGGAATAGAGCCTCAGGCTGGTGACAATAACCACACTGTCAGATGTACGTTTTACAGTCGCACACTGGCTAGTCTAATAATGGAACCATTTAGAGGCTGTCTTCGCTTTCATAGTGACTCATTGTCCTAAGAAATTTCACTTTCTATGAGAGTAGAGTAGCTTGTAATTTCATGGTCACTGTAACAACTTTCAACCTGTCAGAGACACTTTAGGTCTTGGGGAGGTTATATTTTAGGTCTGATTTTGAGGGAGTATTGTGGGGGGGGGGTAATGCCACCATCACTCATTGAAATCTAAAGTAAAATTATTTTCATCTAATAAAGGATTACTCTGTTCACCATTAAACTAACCTATAAAAGGCCATGTGCATATAAGCTATAATAAATATGGCATAAAAACACTCAGAACTAGGAGTGCAGAATTGGCATTTAAATCTCCGAGGAAGTTGTTAAATGGTATAGGATGAGTCAAAAAGAACTGAACATTTCCAAAGTGAACAACTCTAACCAGGTAATACACAATCATGTATGTGCTAAACTGTGGGCGACCTTTTAAGTGTCGAGACAGAGAAAAGTATTAGGTTTTGACCATGTTTATATTTGTTAAGTGTTCAGTTCCTTCTGAATCATTCTGTACAATGAGTGTAATAATCTGAGGTCCAAAAATGGGATCTAGATGGTCTGTGAAACCCCTGAAATTATATGTGAAAATATTGTATAATTGAGAGTTGAAATTATTTGATTTTATCCCATATTACAATTTGTATTTACTAATAACACAGAATCAATAACTTTTTCATGAATAGATTTCATGATAATGTTAGTAATTATTGAGTTAATCTTAAATATTTATTTTAGAGTTTAATAAACTCCAACAGAGTTTTAGAATTTAAAAACTACAGTGTTTTTTTTTTAAGGTCTATAGTATACATATAAAAAACATGTCTCATATGTTTCATAAGTACACTTCACCCAAAGCACTCCCTATCAAAATACAGGACTGTATTTTTTACATAACCAAAGCACATAATCCTAAAATTTGTTTGGAACCACAAAAGACCCTGAACAGCCAAAACAATCTTGAGAAAGAAGAACAAAGCTGGAGGTACCACACTCTCTGGTTTAAAACTATACTATGAAGTTATAACAAACAAAATGATATGGTACTGGAACAAAAACAGATACATAGATAAATAGAACAGAATAAAGAGGCCAGAAATAAACCTATTCTTATATGATAAGTTAATCTATGATAAAGGAAGCAAGAACTTGTAATGGAGAAAAGACAGTTGCTTCAATAAATGGTGTTGGGAAAACTGGAGAGCCTAATGAAAAAGAATGAAACAGGACCACTTTTTTATACCATATACAAAAATAAACTGAAAATGCATTAGAAACATAAATGTAAGATCTGAAACCATAAAACTCCTGGAAGAAAACATAGGCAGTAGGCTCTCTGACATTAGTATTAGAAAAATGTTTTTGGATATATCTCCTCAGGCAAGGGCAACAAATGGGTCTATATCAAACTAAAAAAGATTTTGCACAGTGAAGGAAACCATTCAACAAAACAAAAAGGCAACCTACTGAATTGCCTTGAGAAAATACTTCTAAATGATATACCTGATAAGGGGTTGATATATAAAATATATAAAGAACTCATACAACTCAACTCAATCACAAAATATAAAACCTGATTTTAAAATAGGCAGAGGATCTGAATAGACATTTTCCCACATAAGATACACATAGTCAACAGGCACATGAAAAGATGTTTGACATCACTAATCATCAGGGAAATGGAAACCAAACCCACAATAAGATACCACCTCACATCTGTCACAATGGCTATTATCAAAAAGACAAGTAATAATAATTGTTGGAGAGGATGTGGAGAAAAGAGAACCCTTGTGCACTGTTAGTGGGAATGTAAACTGGAACAGACACTACTGAAAATAGTATGGAGTTCCTCAAAAAATGAAAAATAGAACTACCATATTATCCAGTAATTCTACTTCTGAATATTTATCCAAAGAAAACAGTAACACTAAAAGACATATGCAACCCTTTGTTCAGTGCAACATTATTCACAACAGCCAAGATATGGAAGCAACTTAAGTGTCCACTGAAGATGAATGGATTAAAAAAAAGATATGGTACATACATACAGTAGAATATTACTCAGCCATGAAAAGAATAAAATCTCACCTTTTGCAACAACATAGATGGATCTAGAGGGTATTTGCTAAGTGAAATTAACCAGACAGAAAGACAAATACCATATGATTTCACTTGTATGTTCTTCACTTTTGTTAAAAAATAGAACAAATGAACAAAAACAAACAAACACAGTCATAAATACAGAGAACAAACTGATAATTGCCAGAGGGGTGGGGGTTAGAGGGATGGGAGAAACAGGTGAAGGGGATTAAAGAGGTAAAAACTTACTGTTATAAAATAAGTCACAGGGATATGATATATAGCATGGGAAATATAGTCAATAATATTGTAATAACTGGACAGTGACAGAGGGTAACTAGACCTAACAAGCTGATCATTTCATAATATATAGAAATATTGAATCACTGTGGTATATTTGAAACTCATAAATTATTATATGTCAGTTATAATTCAATAGAAAAAATAAACTTCAATCCTGGCTGCTGCAGCATTGTTATCATTCTTGTTGGGGGACCCAGGGTCACTTCTAGTACAGAGACTCTTTCCTACAAAATATAAAAAAGGCATCAAGATGCCCTTTCTCTTAGTGGAAGAGAGGCAGTCTTGCAATGGGGAACATTGTTTGGCGTGGGAAATGTGACTGGAGTTCAACCTTTCATATCCCCTCAGCTCGCTACCTTTGTGTCATACACAAATTGTACAACTGTACACAGCAGCCCCGCTGGAACCCCAGTGAAAGAAAATATATAAGGACTCCAGTACTTTCTCTACTTAAAATACCTTGAACAGAGACCAAGCTATTTTTTTTTAATTTTTTCAAAAAGAACTGTATTTAACTTATTGTAAGGTCCACATTTTTAAACAATTTAACATCTCTGAAATTTCTCACAGTGTTATACCCAGTAAGCCACATTTTATATAATGAATACATTTGTTAAGCAAAGAAAAAATCATTAAATAAGTGAAATAATCCTAACTTCTATTTATTGTTCTCACTCAAAATAATATGCCATTTCTTACTTGAAAGAAGATACCCTGTAGATCTATCAAACAGAACACTTTCCCTTGTCCTCTGTTTTCAAGGACTCCTTAGACTAAAATAATTCCTCCTCAACCTCAAAGCACTTTGTTCATATTCTGCTTGTGGCTTTATTTTGCTCTGCTTTGTACTGTAATTATACTTTGCTTCTCTTGCCTGTAAGCTGCTGCCGGGCAGAGCCTGTGGACCTTTGTGTTCTCTTCTATGTCAGGTAACAGCAATGGTCAGGTGGAAGCAGCCTGGGCTCTGGAGCCAGGCTGACCTGCATTCGGACACTAGCTCTATGATCATGAGGAAGTCACTTTTAGAATCCCATTTCTTCACTTGCGAAATGGAGGTAACACAACAATTGGGATTGGTCTGAAAGTTTAAAAATGAGTGAAGTTGTAAAGGACTGGCACTTAGCAGGTTCTTTATAACTGACTAGCACTATTTGTCAGGTGGCAAGAACTTTGGAAGCAAACAGTTTGACATCCTTGCTTGGTCACTTAATGTGTCCCTAAACTACAAGCTACCTCTCTAAGCCTCAGCTTCTAGGCACCATGAAGGTATGATCTTGTCCATCTCACTCAGTGTTGTCCTCAGCATCTAACACAGAGCCTAGCTGTCGTTGAATGGATCAAAGAAACCTGAAGATAATTCCTTACAGCACGACTACAAACATTACCAAGACTGTATACAGAGTGCCAGGCACAGTTACAATACTTGGTACCTAGGCCATAATAACTGATTTTTGGTTGTCAAAACAAATGGATATAAAAAATTTTGGATGTAAAAAATGCTATGGGCATTCATGCCCATGTATTTACCATGTTAATTACAGAAGTAGGCAGGCAATAAGAGGACACAGCTAAAGGACTGGCCTGATGACTAACACCTTCTACTATTAAATTGTCCTCATACCTCCAATGCAATACTATTACAGGCAGCAAGAATCACTTGTTTAGTTAATATTTATTGAGCACTTAGGATGTGGAGGACACCAAAAGGGATAAAATATGAACAAGTTCATCTATGTCAGCAGCAAAACAGAGAGGTACTTGCTTGCTTTCAAGAGTCTGAGGCCTCAGATTACTGGTGTTTCATGAAAAGGAGATTCAAAAAGATCATAATTAACACACAGAATACTTGGTATCCCTTTCCCCCTTATTTCAAATAACTACTTCCATAACTATGACCTTTCTACTCCTACCCATTTAGACAGTGGGAGGTAGCCCCTATGACCTTTGTCACAAATCTAGATAATACAGGTCAGGACAAGGGAATTTCCTATGCCCTGATACAACCCTCCCATTATTACCACAGGCTAGACAGGAGGGCTGCCTAGATAAGAGGAATGGATAGAAGGAGGGCAAAACGCAGCTGTGAGTCTAAAGATAAATGATTACACCTCATCTGTGACGTGGCTGTTAGGTGATCTCACCTGAAACATTCCTAATCAATGCATGTCATTCTTGTTCTCCAAGATAGGTAGTAAAGCAGACTCCATAAGCCGTACTGGAGTACTATTGATCAAAGCAGAAGAAAACGTCCAAAGCCAGTATACTTGAATTATCAACTTGAATTTTCTTGTCATACATTTATGTCTTGATTCTTAATTCAAAATATGTATTAGGATATAGAGTCCAGAGTCTAAACAATGTTTTTATATGATTGTTTCTAGGCAAAAGGATCCAAGCAATGACCTTGAGGCCTAGCCACTAGCTTCTCCAGCTCCCTTTGTGCCCTCTGAGCCTCTAATGTTGGAAGTAGATTTCTGGCCACAACATGAAACACGGGATACTGGGAGGAGCAGCAATGCTGATTGAAAAGTAAGGAGCAGAAAATTTCCTGGACCAAGAATTCAAGAAGGAAAGTAGGGAGGGCAGAGAGAATATGGGAGGATGGAGAGGAGGATGGAAGGAAGGAAAGATAAAACAGATTAACCTAGAAGTTCCATCCATCTCAAAGATGAATTACATTAAACATGGAGCTGAAGGAGCTCTGAGGAATGGCCCCCGACCTACACTGGCCAGTGGGGTGGGGTGTGGGGAGGCACTTGTATCAGCTGAGGAGCACAGTGCTGAGCTGCGTGGAACAGGACACCTGGAGACCCTCTGTTTCAGACACCAGGCTACGTGAGCACCCAGGGCCACTTCTGGGGTGGGAGGTGATGGTGCCAAGCTACCAACAGGTGGTGTGAGTCTTTGAAATCCTCCTTGCTCCCTTTATACAAAACACCTTCTTGTCTTCCCTTCCCACCTGGGCAACCCCAGATGGAAGACGCAAGTGCATGGAAGCCAGCTAAGCGTGAACGTGTGTGTGTGGAAAGGAGGCAGAAACTAGTATCTTTCCTGGGTGTGGACTCATCAGTGTTGATTCTGGGGAGGCTAGATGTTCAAGGATCAAAACTCTTATCGTGTGTGACAAAAAGTTTATCTTCTACCATGTTCTTCACATGCTTCCGAGAATCCCTAAGGACTGCTTGCCTGCCCTGCACATCCACACTGGCCGCCCTATGTGCCCAGGAACAGCATGGAGCCGGGCTGTGGCTCAGCTCTCAGGCAGTCACCTCTCGCTGGGGAGTGACCACCCTCCCAGGCTGCTGCCAGGCTTCTCGTTCTGCTTTCCTTCAGCCACCGACACATATCCATCCCTGAATCCCCCAGGGCACCACAGAGATCAGAAGGCTTGGGATAACAGAAAAGAATAAGAATATAAAAAATAATATTTTCCCAAAAAAGAACTGGCTCCCAAAAAGCTCCTTCAGGTTTTGTGGGTTCTGCATTGCTTAGTATTAAAATTTTTTGCTTTCCTTGGCTCCTAATACTGTCTGTGGGATTATGGGGGACAGATCCAGATCCCTTTATCTAAAGAGAAGGCTTGGGACCTCTGCAGATTGCTGTCAACCTGACCACATTCTGATTTGGATCTGCCAACATCGAGGATGGAGAGAATCAGGAAGTACAGAGAAGCTGAGAAGCAAGGAGATGAGAAAGATCTGGTATGAAACATCAGCACTGTGCTCTATGACTCAGAACCGTCTCCTAATAGTAACATTCTATCTTTATTTTATGTATATAGCAACTTTTCTCCATAATAAATTATCTTCTTATAAGAAAAACTGAAGGACTCGAGTGGAAAATTTAACCAAGCTGCAATTTTTGTAACATGAGGTCATACAGGAGGTTCTTTTACAGAAAGATACTAGGCCTGCCTTATTCCTAAAGGAAAAATAACATGGTGAAACTGCCTTGTTTATTGAGAATGCTAAGATAATAAATTGATGTTATGAGTCCCATTTGAGCGTGTCTGAGTGAGAATCTGTTGAAGCAGAAGGAACATTATGGGAAAAAAGCTTGGGAAGTGAAATTAGATTTTTCATACATGGAATAGCAGCTGCTCAGATAGCAGAAAAATCCTCGCAAACAACTTATCAAGGGGCAATGCAGAAAACAACAATGAAGACAGCTCTTCTTTCCAAAGAGAGAATGGTCCAGGACAGCTCCGTGACTGCAGGTGACAGCAAGTTACATTCCATATATGGAAAGTACTGAATAACTAATGTTCAAAGGTTTATAGCCCAGAATGAACAGTCTAGCTTGCAAACTGCCTCTGACTCAACTCAAAAACAGAATTTTAAAGCATAATCACGTGTTGGATGCACACTATGGCCACAATAAAGAGTGATGTTTGCTTATGCCAGAGGCTTTCTGGAGATCCAAGACATTCCAAACACCAGTCACCACTGAATGGCCAACTCTGAGATTAGGTGAGTGTTTAAGGTAGAGCAGCCACACTGGTATAAAAACAAAGCAAAAGATTGGTAGTAAACACGAAAGCCCAACAGAGTAATTGCACTAATGCAGCCCTCCTAGTGGGTAGGTCTTAAAGGACCAAAGACTTTCAGCATTTGTAAACGACATCCTTGCTCTTTGGCAGACAGGTCAAAATTATTTTTCTGAAACCATAAACATTTGGTGGGAAATGATTTTAGAGAGAGGAGGTAAAAGGCAATCCCAAGGTAAAATTGCCAAGCTGGGTAAAAGTTGACATGATGACGGTAGCTTTTGAGAAGAGGACTGACATGGTGTCAATGGTTTTTTAGGAAGATTAACAGTAATCAGAAGAATGAATTAAAAGAGGATGGGCAGGGGTGGATTCAGGTTTTGTGTATCTGAAGCTACCCTAGCTTAAAGAGTGTGGACCCTCTTTTAAAATAAGAATACAAAATTGCCAAGGCTACACTCAGAGCCTTTGAATGGACCTGTGAAAGGGAGACGGCCTGAAGGGTAAGCTTCCTTACCTTCACAATAAGCTGCCACATGGGTAAGTGACAGCTCAGGCCACTCACACTGTCACCCCCACCTACCCATCCACCAAAGCTAGAAATCGAAGAATCAGTTTTGATCCTTCCTCTCATTTCCTCTTCAGTCACCAAGTCATGCCCATTTCATTTCCTAAGCATTTTGCAAATTCATCTCTGTCTTCATTTTTCATTCCTCATGCTACATCACCACCTCTTACCTACTTCACTGCAAATAGCCTCCTAACTGGTTTCCCGATTCCACTCTGGTTTGCCTCCCAGAAATCTATCCTTCACCCAGTTGCTCAGAATACTCTGTCCATCTAAAAGGCAAATCTATAATTTCACACTCCTATTGAGTACCCTTCATTAAAGCCCAATCAAGAGAAAGCTCCAAGCCTCCTTACCATGACAAGCAAAGCCTCATGACCTGGACCTTCCTACCTCTCCCACATCACCTCTCAGCTTTTCATAGTATCAACACCATATTGCCTGTAGTTCTCTGCAAATTCATTGTAAGTTTTCACATCCAACTTTTGGCTCCTGGCTGGCCTCTTTGCTTGGAATCTCCTCCTTTTCTCCTCACCCCTTGTCCTTCCCACCTCCCTTTACCAGGCTCACCATCTCCTGGAGGGCTTCATCAACCATTCCTACGCCACCAACTAATGGGGTAGGTGCCCTCCTCTGCAGAGTTCCATCAAAGTACTGAGCAATGTAAAATGCTGAAGAAGGCCTAAAACTAGAAATTTTAGCCTTGGTAAGTCAGAAGGACTCCTCTTCTGAAGTTAAGGGTAGGATGAAAGGACAGTATGGAGACATTGATACTGAAGTGGAAGGAAGGTAGACTGGGAAATTTACACCATTCACCAGTTCTCCAGGGTTTCCCACGACAGAGCCCCAAGCTCCCGGCTTCCCCCACCCTAATTCTACCCAATCACATCCCCCCCAAAGTCACCTGTGACGCATTCCTCTCCATTTTCTACTTTTCTAAGTCAATGAATCCGCTAGACAAGAGTGTAAAGCCTTCAAGGGACACTGCCTTCTGTTCACCTCTTTAATTCACTTGTTTACATATTGTTATTCAATACATAGAAATTACCTTCATTGCCACAGCTAAGGATATGGAGGCAAAGAAGACAAAATCCCTGCCCTTGTGGATTTGATTTGAGGGCAGCATGTCCACTTCAATGATAACCTTCTAAGGATGATGCCCAGCTTTTGCTGCCTTATGCCAGTGAAATGTTCAGGGAGGGTAGACAGGGCTGCACTATGGCAGATGCCTCTCCAGTCATACTGAATATACACCTGTCCCCTGGTGACTGGGAGAATACAGATCTAGATAATAAATCCATGGGACATAAACATATATAAAAACAGAGGTGACAAAATATGGCTATCTTGAAGATAGGTTAATAAGGTAAACAAGCTTCGAGGTGGGACCTTACATGGCCACAAGGCCACCTTGGTTTTCTACCAGTAGCGTATGCTTTCCTCACCCTCTTCTTCCCTTCTCATCACATTCCCAACTCATGGTTTATTCTTAATTTTCTCCATGCTCTCCTGGGTATGATAACATAATTTTTGCTTAAACCCAACAAACCATTTCTAATCTCCACTAGACAGTAGAAAGTATAGGTTCAGAGCATGGGCTCTTCAGTGAAAAGGCTTAAGTTAGATTCTCAGTTCTTGAGCAATTTAATAAACATCTCTAAACCTGTTTTTACATCTACAAAAGGAGATAATACCAACTTTGTGGCTTGCTTCTGAGAATTGAAAGAAATGTCCATGTCAGGTTCTTCTATACCTAGCAATAACCAAAGATTATTACTTCTTGTTACGTGACAATGAGATCAGATACAGCAGCTGGTGTCAGCCCAAAGCCTGACCAGTTCAGGCTGTTGGCCCACATTTTAAAAGTAATGAGACTTTAATTCTGGGATTAATTTCACATCCCTTATGAAACAGCCTTCTGCTATACAGACCTAAAATAAACCAGTGGCCAGAAGAACAGACCAGTTTTAACATTAGTCAGCCTTGCTAGGGCCTCTGGGGTTGGCCTTAATAATAATAGTAATAATAGGAAATGCTGAGTCATCCTGCCCCTGGAGGGGGTGAGGGTGGGGTCGGGGACTGAAATCCTCGGGAACCAGGCCTCCCAGGGGAGCATTACAGGGGCCACTCTGATCTCCTGACCCATATGCAGCTGACTTTTGGTCTCAGTCCTATTTACAGCTCTCCTTTCTCTCTTGCTGATCCAACTGGTTACTGCCCTTCTCTGGGCACGAGCCTTCTGACCTCGGTTCTTGAGCAGCAGCCAAATGGGCAGGTGCTCTTACTGACACCTGGGAATTTCCACCTGCTAATCAGGGAGTGCCCTGAACAAGAAAAGGTGCTTTCTTCCTGGGAACATTGCTCAGGTTCTTCTTTGTAAAAAGTTAAATGAGAGGGAGGAGGAAGCAAACACCTGTTCAATAGTGAAAATGGATGGAAATGAAACAAAGGAAAAAAAATTAGATGTGTTTTCTAAAAGACAGATGAATGCAACAACTTTATTAACTTCCTGATCTCATCTGTGCAATCTGAGCTTGCTGTCAGAGATGTAAAGATCTTGCCATCTATTCTCTGTTACAAATTCTCCCCATAATAAATATCAATTCTAGTGACTAAGTGACCCTTGCTCTGTGCTGTAGGACTGTGAGATAGATGGCCCTGATCTTCAGGCTGCGGAGCACTGTGGTGGACTGCAGATGTTCTGAGTTATAGAACTGGTCAACCCTCTATAAAAGAAGCTACCTGGGAAAATGTATTTCAGCATCCACACTTACTGGAGAACCAGTATTGACAAAAATGCTTGCCCTCTGACATCCTGAGTATACAGCTGCCAGCCCCTGTTCCCTTCTAAGCCCCCTCTTCCTATTTCCTCAGTTGTGAAATGCAGAGTGGGTAGAAGTCTCATGCATGAGGACCGAGTGGTCACAAATGCCTCCTCTGTCCTCACTGCTCCTCTTGCAACCCTAACCACAGTTCCTGCAAGTGGCAGGAGGAGGGAGTGGCCAGCAGGTCCAAAGAGCAGCAACTACCGACTGTGCCACTTCCTTCCTCCCTCCTGGGTTCTAGCCTCTGATACCCACTCTGCCCTCTGCCCCCAGCAGGGATGCAAACAAAGCCACCCCACAGTGGGGGCAGGCCCAACCTGGCTGAGCGCCCTTCTCCACTCTGATCACGGAGGGTGGCTGCCGCATGCGGGACTGCTTCCTGCCCCGCTGCTCCATGCACAGCCCTCCAGAAAGGCCTGTGAAGATGCCTTCCTGGCAGAGACAGGGTGTCCCTCCTCATGGGAGAGATGCTCCCCCACTCTGCCCTCTCGGCTTCACAGAGGGCCCACTGCTGAGTCATCCTGTGATCTAGAGATGGTTCTTATTGGCCAACACCCGAAATGATTTGCCATCTGCTCACCAGGTCCTAAAAGTTCTGACATTTGTGGTAAAGATCACATCCTCAGTTTTCATTCTTACCTTTGTTTGTGGACTGTTTTTTGTTTGTTTGTTTCTGGCCCTGGGTCTGTGTGCCCATATTAATTCTCCTGGTTTGTTAATGAAATGAACAGACACGACTTCTTTTATTTAGTTTGATTTTTGTTGCACGTTCTTATTGAAGAACAGGACAGAATCATGGAAGGAGAGCTGAGAATTTTAAAACTCTTAAAGAGTTATACAAATTACCACTTTCATTAACATTTCCTGATTGCTGTAAAATCATTTTTACATGATATGAAAAGTCCAGGAAAGTTTAGCTTACTAAGATAAAAAGTACAATAATCTCACCACCCCATGGCAATGACTGTCCACATTTTGATGTATTTCTTTCTTATCTTTTTTCCTACAAGTTTTACTAGGAATAGGAAACCTATTTTTATCAATAGCACCCTTTAGCAAAGAATTGGTGCCATGCTAGGTCTGTGACATACATATTTGCTATCTTTCTGACAACTTGGAAA